GCGCCCTGCCATTTGAGCCGAACCTGCAGCCCTTTTTTCCTTCGTTTATTTCCATATAGGGTCTTGCGTTTTTTCCCATGTTAGCTTAGGACCAAGATCCATCTACCTATGCCTCCTGCTTAACTGGGATCGCAGATGTGCCCCACCACACCTAGTTTGTTTATTGAAATGGGGATCTCACTAACATTTGACTTGGGCTGGCCTCTAACCATGATCCTCCCAATCTCTACCTCCCAAATAGCTGGGATTAGAGTTGTGCACCTGGCCCAGGATTCATTTCTTCTAGTGTAAATACAGCTTCTTTTCTTTCTTTCTTTTTAAGTTTTTTTTTTTTTACTTTATTTTCTTGCCTTTTTTTTGTTGTTTTTGCATTCAGAAATGTAAAATAGAAATTATTGTTATTTTTTTCTGCCCCTGACACTGGGGACTGAACCCAGGACCATGCTAGGCAAGTGCTTCTCCTACTTGAGCCATAATAGTTTAATTGGTTCATTTTATTAACTAATTTATTTATTAACTTTTACATTCGAACTCAGGGCTTATGATTGCTAGTTAAGGCCTCTATCAGTTAAGCCGCACCTCTGGCATGCATAATAAATTAATAAGATAAATGCTGTGGAAGGCGAACCACTCTAACCTAAGAACTCATTCTGCATAATGACCAACCAAGCAAGAGAGCCGAGGATGACAAAATTCAGTCGGTCATGCTGGACAGGCAGTTTGCAGGGAGACAGGGTGGCGCACTGTGTAGATCTGTGGGCAACATTTCCTTGGTTAAATCTTTGTTTCATAATTTTGGGAAAGGTACTTAACCTCTGGGTATTTCAGATTCTTTCTTTGTAAATGAAAAGTAGCTATGTCTGGGTTTTCATGAGTGTAATGAAATCAATTTTGAGCACTTAGGTCAGTGCTGGCATATGTAAAGAGCTTAAAAATGCTAGATTTTATAGTAAGCTTGGAGGTTGTTACTTCAAGTGAATGGGTCTTCCACGTCTATTTATGGGAGATAAACTTGTATACCAGGTCTACTACTTAGATTAAGAAAGAAGGATAAAGTAAGAAAGGCATCAAGCAGCCAATAAAGAGCAAGGACCTAAAAAGCCAAGATCCTAGAGGAAAGAAATCACAGAAGCAAAATCAACACTGATTTCTCACCATGGCATTGACCCATTCATACGGGAGACTTAGAAACTGAAAGCTGAAGAGAACTTCAGCTTGTCTTAAATTGCTGCTGGAAAATTGAGCCATTCAGGAATACTAAAGCAAAAGGTCCATAAATACCCAGGCCTTTGGTAGAGATCCCTAAAACACTACACTCCAAGACAACGGGTTAGTCAGAAGCATACCAGTCGGACTGAATAAACCTAACTTCTGACAGATTTAAGTGATCTGTCCAATCCAAACTGCAAGGCTGAGGGAGCAGCTCAAGTGGTAAGAGTACCTGCCCAGCAAGCTTTAAGGCCCTGAATTCAAACTCCAGTGCTGCCAAAAAAAGAAAAAAGAAACTGTACTAACTCCCAAACAAGAATAGTAAATTCTCTCTGTAGGATTATCTATAACCTCAAAGTATCTCTTTAGTAACTTGTAAACAATGTCTAGCATTTGTTTAAAACTTACCTAACATGCAAACAGACATGAACAATGAATGAAATCTGTGTGTGTGGGGGGAGAAAACAGAGGTCAGCAACAGATTCAAAAGAAATCCAGACATTGTAGTTAGTCACAAACTGTAAAGAACTGTTAATGTATCCAACAAAATAGATGAAAAGAAGGTTAATTTCATCAGGTAATTAAATCTATAATATAATCAGTAAAAGAAACAAATGGGTACTATAAAATGCACCACAGTGAACAGTTGGTAATTTAAGGGAAATTTTTTTAAAGAGCTATTTTGCTTTATGAATTTTGGCTTCAATCTAAGTAAACTATGCCTTTGAAATCAGTTATATTAAAGAGCAGTGTAACAATAAGAATCTATAACTTATAGCAGAATTTCAAATCTTTAGTTGCATAATGCAGAGCTCTAACCTTGGGAGAAATAATTATTTAAAGGCATTTGTGTCTGTACTGTCACTACTTCAGTACTGAGAACAGCTGGATATTGATAAAGAAACATTGAATGCTGTGAGCAAAGACAGATCCACTCTTATTTGAGCAGCAGGTCTTTCCCTCTTGCGATTCATCACAAGCAAGATTGTGGGAAGTGAAAGTGTTCTTTTAATTCATTGATCATTCTTAATCTAGTCTGCACTGTGAAAAATTGTGCTTTTGGAAAAATGAGTATTTTGGAAGCATGACAGGATTGGAGGTCATTCAGGGGTGAGTATGGGGCATTGGCACAATAAGAATGACAAAGAGAAACAAAATAGGATGGTGGAGTAAGTCATATGAGGGCAACAAAAACAAAACTTAGTTCAATAAATTTATTCAGGATATTATTAATTTTAATCTATAATTTAACAAACTCATGTATTGTGGTTTTTATACAAGTGAGAGAGTCTCTTTTCACCACCTAAAATATAATAAATCAAACAAAGGTAGAGTTAGCTTGTAAGAAGCAATTTATGATAGAGGGAAGTTCACTTACTATTCTGTCAGTAACTTCAGTTCTATAACTTCAGGATAGATAGGAACACAAAATTTTACTATTTATATTATATGTACTATCAATTTGGTTACCTTTACAAATTAACTGGAAAGAGCTCCCCTGAATATACTTGCATTTGTGTAGTATAATGTGTCCAATAAAAAAGATTATTAAGCAGTGAACATTAACAAGTATTTATTGACAAAAACCAAAAAAAAGACATTTTGTAAATTGTTATACATGATCTCCTTAGGAAAGAAAAATAGTTGAGCTGCCTTAGAATTAATTGGATTTGTCCTTACTTAGCTCTAAGACCTCAAGCATGCCATTTAACCTCTCTTACTCAGCTTGATTAGCTATAAAATGAACATGTGGAACCTAATTCCATAACTAAGCCACGAACATTTATTGAACACTTTTTATGTGCCAGTATTTTTGTGAAACAGTAAAGATATTAAGGATACAGGAGATTGTTGAAGAACTGAACACTATAACATGTGTGTAAGTGCTTTGTAAAAGGTAATAAATTATTCAAAGTATTATTCTATGCCATCATGTGATTATAAATGTTTTTCTAGGAACATCTTTTTCTCTCACCCCAAATGCAAAGGGAACTCTTATTTCAGCAAATTCAGTAAAACAAGATGTATGCCAATTATTAGGGGAAGAAAAAGAAAGAAATTTCTTTCTGGGCAGGACAGAGAGAAGGAAAAGAACAGTAAGGCAAATAATAAAGTAAAAATGGCCTCATTGGATTTCAACTGGACCACAGTCTGGGAAGCGAGACAGCATTAAAAAAAACTGCCTATCAGCTTAATATTTCCCATGATGAAATGGGAAACCATAATGGGAATTTTTTTGTACAATTAAAGCAAAGAAAAGGAAAAACATTTTAAAATGCCAACTCAGAACAAAGAAGCAACTCTTACTCTGCCATGTGAGACGCCCTTTGAGAACTGTGTAAATAAAGATGACAATTTTGATAGTAAAGACTAGAGAGCGACCACAATAGGAACACAAATCTCTGTTTTGATAAAGTCTACAGTTGGTGAGATCTAAGACTCCAGACTCACTGACCCTGATCGTTCCAGAAACTTTACCACTGTTGGTTAAAACTATTGCAAATTAACATTCCTGAATCTCTCTGCCATCCCAGCAATATGCTGGATTGTGACAAATACTAGGAGTGAGCGAATGTTTTGAGAGGTACTCTCTCAGCTTCTAAAGAATGTGATATGAAAATTTGGTGGACTATAGCATCAAAACATAGTTCTGATCAACAAAATATAGAGCAAGACACATCCCACATTATATTGTATTTTCAAGTATTGCCCCAAGTAAATGAAAAAATCTTCCACATGGAAAATCTCTTTAAAGGAATAGAAACATCTGACATGGTAGCTGAATTTTTAAAAGTTGACCTATTTAGTTGAAATTTAACTATTTCTCCCTTTATGGAATAAATGGATTTCAGAAGATTTGACCAAAGTGAGTACTTTCTTTATTATCAACTTCCTTTTTATAATCAGGGACTCATCCCCTCTTCACTCACCAAGAAAAAGATCACCCCTCAGTTGAAAAGATGTGGAGCCTGAATTATTAAACATACCCATTAACCCCTGGGTTATTAATGTCATTATTAATTGTCAGAATTTCTCTTCCAAGAACTGACTGCCTAAAAAAATGACATCTGTAGTACTTGGAACTTTATTCCTATATTTTTTGTCTAGAAGACCCTAATTACACTGTCAAAAGACTTTGAAATAAAACACATTATTATTCCAGTCTAAACATTCTGCAAACTTAAGGCTATGATTTAGTAAATTTTCATTCTTTGTCAGTTTGCTAAAATGAAACAAGCCTTAAGTTTACATTCCCTTATTCATTCTGTCACTTAGAGTTCTAATTAATCTTTTCTACCAGGTTTTAATGAACATTAGCCAACAGTTTTGGCACAACTGTCCTGAGATTCACAGTCTTGGGTCTCTGAGTTACACATGTTGTTGTGTTTAGTAATACTTTGGGAATCAGAATCAAAATTGGCACAGAAGTCAACAAGGCACACCCCCCAAGAAAAACCCCACCCCTACAGACAATAAATTCAGATAGAGGTGGAAAATTCTTATAAACAGGATTTTTTCTTAAAGTTATTTCACAATAATACTACTTGCACTGCAATTATTTAATAATTTTTATAAAAGCTTTGGGTCACAATGTCAATGATATCAGAATATACAACAAAACAAAATCCCCACAAATTAGCCATAGTTCTACCCAGAAGATTAAAAATAAAAAATGTTTGATTAAGCAGAAGAAGCCAATAGATAAGAAAATGAAATATTTCGTTCTTGACCCTTGAAAGAAGAGGTCACAGTAAGAGTCAGGGGGCAGGAAATGATGCCATGTCACTTACTTCTTTGTATCCAAAGATGATGCGCCCATCCATGAGGAGTGTTGCCTGGAAAGTGAAGCTTCCCAGGTTGTAATTGTCCTGGAGATGCACGTGGTCCCATTGGACAACAAGCGCTGTGCCTGCAAAACCCATGGTAAGAAAAAAGAAATTCAACGAGTCAAATACACTCCCCAATTCTGAGGAAGGATTCATTGAAGTATTTATCTGGCCTTCAAATCTACTAGCTTTGCTCTTTCAGTTTTATGTGGTTAACTGGAATTCTGTTACTGAAGCAGCATTTGGGGTACTTTTAAAGGACTGAGTATTCTCTAAATATTTACTAAGAATCTATCCTCACACTGAGGTTAATATTGAGCCAACCCAGTGTGGGGGAATTTTGCCTTAGGAATTTTATTAATGTTAATAGGTACTATCTGCTTAAATTTCCATGAGCCATTTTCAAAACGCAGCCCCAAGTGAACTGAATGAACTTCAAATACTTTTGACAAATGCTGAGAAATGAACACATTCAGAAAAGCTAAGACCTACTTATAAATGATATGAATAATGTTTCTTTCCATCTTTAGAATTATAGTGTTCCACACTGAAGAAGTTCCTTTAGCACTAATGGGAATTTTCCTCTTTGATTATCAATGCCTGCATTTCTGTCTTTGTTGTATTGCTTCCAGAAGGCTGTCAGGCAGCCTATAAAGGGCTCTGGGCTATGGTTTCTGAAGCCCTAGTGAAGTACATCAGATGAAACTGCAGTAGTTTGTATTATTCTGAAGGCTCAATCTTCCAGTGTTCACTATTCAACCATTAATATGAAATATAAGTTGTCACACAGTTTTGGGGTATTTTTTGGACTTTTTAGATTATAGAAAATTTTATTACTTAAAATATTTTTAACATAGAATGTTGGTTTTGCAAACCATACCATCATTTTTTGTTTTATTTATTTATTTAATTGTTCTGCTGGGAGTACACTGTGGCTTTTACAAAAATTCTTACAATATACTAAATATATCATATTTCAATTCACCCTCTCCATCATTCTCCTTTGTTCCCTCCTTCCCCCCATTCCTGGAATAATTTAAAGTCTTCTTTTTCCATTTACATACATGTGTAGATGGTATTTGCAGTATATTCATCCCATAGCAGAGGCTGGCTTTGAACTCATGATCCTCCAGGTTCAGCCAGGATTACATCCATAAGACACCATGCCTGGATCCTAGGATTAGTTTTCATAGCTTCCCTGTTTTTGTGCATTAATATTCAGTGACTCATGTACACTGCAGGTATCATTCAACTAGTTATAACATTTGAAAGCATCAGCTCATTTTTTAACATCTACAGCTTTAATTCTTATAGAAATATTATCTTAGAAGAAATTTTCTAATTTAATGTTGTCTTTAAAAAATTATTTTATTTTTTTGCAGTACTGGGGATGGAATCTTAGGCCTTGTACATGCTGAACAAGCAAAGATCTAGCACTGAGCTATTTCCCTAGACCTTTGCTGATGTCTTTTCTAGAGATGTTTTGCTTCCCTAAAATGCTTAGTTCTCAACTTTAAGCCCTCTGTCAATGATCCTAACCAACCGATGTTGAGATGATTACAGCAAGTTGCTAGGTATGAATCAGGATTTTGTGAAGAGCCTTACAATATTTAAAATTGCTTCATTTAAAAATCACATAGCAATTACTCAGCTTTCATTATCATATTGTAGGATCCTAATATTCCCATTGGTCATTACACAGAAGTTATCTCAATAAGGTAAAAACACTTAATACTGGACACATGGCTCAAATGGTAGAGTACCTGCTTGCAAGCATACGATGAGTTCAATCCTCAGTACTGACCCCACAAAATAAATTAATTTTCAGCAATAATACTTTCATATTGTTAGAAGTAAAAACTCATCTTACATATTTACGTTTTTTATGTATTTATTCATTGACTATTTAATGTGACCTACCACCTATTAAGTACCTATTTTAGTTGGTAGAGAGATATCTTATAAATAGTAACAGACTTTGTTTATAAAGAATTTAGAGGCTAGATGGAGTGGTATACATTAATTTTAAAAAAATCATTTAAGTAAAAGTAAAATTCTAATATTAAATGATACTTAGGAACAGGGTACATGAAAGCAAATGATGAGAGAGTGACTTAATATACCTTATCATTTATATGCTAAGAATATAAATCTATCCATCAAAATCTTGTGCTCATGAGTAAATGACCCTAACATCACCTATTGAGTGAAAGAGCTTGAAAAACAATGAACTTTCATAAAATCATTTATTTACTTAAAGTAGATTCTAAGGCAATTTTGTATCGGAGACCATGGAATTAATCTTCAGAAAAATTTGTGTGTTGTTCTGCTTCAAGTATGCTTAGAATCTGCTTACGGTGTATGTAATACACACATGGGCAGTATCTTCTCATGAGTTTGAATAAACCAAAACAAAACACAAAAAGAAGTGGGAGGATAGAATTTATCAGTTCTTAAAACAATAGGGAAATAGTAAAAATTATTTTTATATTGGAATTATTGAATACTGGATCACACTTTTGTGTGATTCAAAGTGTTTAAAATGTATTTCTCAAGCTGTATGTGTAAATATGTTTAATTTCCTTTATCCTTTGCTATTATGACTTTTGAAATGGTTTTGTCACATTGGTTACAGGATTGCTTTTAGCAAAATGATCATATTTCCCCAAGGCTAATGTCACCATTAAGCTTATACCACCTACTGGTAAATGTCTTCCCTGATCATCAGAAACAAGACAAAAATAGAAATAATTTTGCTTAACCCTGAATGTACCCATTATTTTTTGGTAATATTTTTATTTGAGCAGATAAATACTCTTTTTGTATTATAAAGAGTACCAAAAATTCTCTTTAATTAATTTTTCTAACACAAACTCTTCTTAACTTGCAATTTCTTTCCTTTATCAAAGGTTTCAAAACCCTGAGTCTCTTATTTGGATTTTCATGGTGTTTAATGACTTTTTTTTTCAGATTTCTGTTATTATACTTGGAAAAATCTTAAAAAGATCTATTTCGTATTTTATATTCCTTTATTTATTTACTGGGAAATGGACTCAGGTCCTTGTGTTGTTACACAAGAGCTCTCCCTATCGAACCACACCAACACTCCTTTTTGCTTTAGTTTATTTTTCAGACAAAGTCTTGTGGTTTTGCTCAGAGCAACCCTGGACTGAAGTCTTCCTACCTCTGCCTCTTGCATAGCTGGGATTACAGGCATATGCCACCATGCTTGGGTTTAAAAATCAGGGAAATTTTTATTTTTGTAAGTAAACTGTAAATACCTACCACTTTTAGTTTTAAGAGATATGTTTAGCTTATAGATACATGGAATTCATTAGTTTTAGAAATTTGTATCAATATATTATAATACTTGGCTCTAAAGACAAGAACTAGCAAAATTACACTTATTTGAATTAACTTAAATTGGAAAGACTTATTGATAACATTATCATATCAAAGAATTTGCTTTGTGTGATGTTCTGTCTACAACTTATTTATTAGAGTGTGTAATCAGTGCTGATGGACATTTGTTGAATGAATGAATGAGTTCAATTTGACCATATACTTTACTCCACTTTTTAACAGTTAACAGTTATCACTTGACTAAGAGCATTTGTATCAAGCAGTTTACAAATATATTGTATAAAAAAATCCAAAAAATATACTAACATGAATCAGATACATATTGGTTAAAAATATAGTTTTAACAAAAAGTAGGGTAATCAATACATACCATTATCAAAATATCTGACTGTTGAATTTCTGGATACACCAGGATCAAAATTAGCCATTAAAGGCGCTATGTACTGTGTGGCGGTTAGCATTCGATGTACAACTTCTCCTGTGTATATGAAACCTGGAATTAGAAAAATCAGAAACATTAGAATCTCCAAAAAATTGTAATTAAAATATTTCCAATTCAAGTGCAGTCATAGCAGTCATAGCTTAAAAATAAAATATCATCGTAGATACATTTTTAAAAGGGACATAATTAGTATCAATGTCTGATTAACAGCACTTTGTCTATGTAAGTAAGAATTCTAGTATGATTAAGAAGTACCTTGCAGAATTTTCTATCAGAAATCTATGAAATGTATGACTTTAAGTTTGGGAAGACTGACTACTTATCTGGAAGAGATTATTAGACTTAAAATTGCTGATATAATACTATAAATCAAATACTAACTTTTTCTATTATCAATTATAATTTTAATGTTTGCCTAACTTCAAAGTACTTTTTGCAAGTGAATTTATTCTCATGACATTTATTTGGATTTTATTTTATTTTATTTTGGCAGTTCTGAGGATTGAACCCAGGGGTTCTCACATGCTAAGCAAGTGCTCTACTACTGAGCAAAATCCCCAGCCCTGGGTTTTCTCAAACTTCAATTTTGAGAAATCCCACATGCTAAAATGCAGAAAATGTTTCCATTCCTTTCTTTTTTTGAAAATTGTAAAGGGTTTGTTAAATACCTATGTCAAAGCTTTCAAACTTTTCACATTGCTCAAGCATTATAATACCAGGACTCTATCAAAAAGATAAGGTCTATATGCTTGCAGATAAAATAGTAAAATATTGACAATGCACAATTAGAAAGTTATCTGCGCCAGCTTATTTCTAGCAGTTGGATAATGAGAGGGAATTACTAGGGAGGACTTCAGGTTTGAATTAACTTCTGATAGCTCCTATGTTCAACTCTAACCCACTTTCAATTATTCACACTGGGTTTATTTACTTTGTGGATTATCCATGACAAATTGTTAATTCTATACTGGCTTCTTGCCTACAAGGTCTTTAGCTGCTTAAAACAAGAATCAGCTCAGAGATTGCTAATTAATTTTAATGTTTGTATGAAAATGCACAATGAAGGACAAATATGCACACAGACACAATATTACAAAACAAAATCCAAAGTAAATTATTTGTGACGGTGCAATTTTAATGTTTAGGCAATTATGAGTTAACTAGATATGTGAGGTCCCTATAGATCATTTTGTAAAATAATTAACAAAATAACATGTACAAGATTACAGAAAGTCTTACAAAACAATGTAATAGTTAAGTCTTGAAAAACATTAAACGTTGTTATTTCACTCTATGGTCTGAATAAAGATTTTATTAGCAGAGTATGTTGTCTACTGGTTTAAAAAAACTATTGAATAATAGTGGAGCAGGGGATAAAGAGTAAGTTAGAAAAAGGGGGGCTAATCTGATTAAACTACAATATGTACATCGGTGAAATGTGAAAGTGAAAACCCCTTGAACAATCAATAAATACTTCAGAAAAGATGGAGGACAGGAAGGTAAATCAGGTCCTGTTTGGGGCTGGGATGAAGGGTGGGAGGGACAGTAAATGGAGAGGGTTAAGGGGAGAGAATAAGGTGGACATACTTTGTATAAGTGTACAAAAATAGAATAATGAAATCTGTTGAATTTACTCTAAAAAGGAGGGAGGTAAGATGAGGAAGAATAATGGAGGGGATGAATCTAATTAAGATATACTGTAATCACTTTTGTAAATGTCACAGTGAACTTCCACCCCCCACATACAGCTAATATCTGCTGAAAAGTGGCAAATATCTTTTACTAAAATATTATGCTAACATGGTCATGGTTGTTGTGCATGGAGTGCCTGGAGCTACTCACTGAAAAAAAATCCCTCCAGAGTTTAACTCCAATGCTTTTCCTCAAGATTTTGTCTATAGGATTTTTGAACCTATTGTAATGGTAAAATCATAAATGAATCCTGGTTAGGATAGGAAAACTAAAAATTACAGAACCTAAAAATGTTACTCTTCACATTTATAATTTTGAGGATGTGAAATTGGACTATGAACGTTGAGGGTATGACTAAAAAGCCAGAAAGAAAAGTAATAAGAACAATAAGCACATTAGGACATGCAAGATCTTTTCTTGTTTTCTCTTTGTGACCATATTGAAAGCTAATTCCTATCAATATCTCAACTTAGTTCTTAAGATTCAAGAATTAAAACCTTTGACTATAGTAATGTACTGTATTCAGTTCTTAAATTTCTAGATCCTAAAACTATTATTTCAACAGGGATTAATAATTAAGTGGAGAGACACTTTACAAGCTTGCAGAGAGCAGGGAACCAGAACAGGAAACTAGATGTAAAAGAACCAGTTATGTGAATTAATGCAACCAAAAGTTTCCAAAGCTTAAAGACATTCATAGCTAGTACCAAGACTTTCACCACTTTACTTTGGCTGTCTTGGGCATGCTCTCTTGTAGAAAAAAATACTTTTCTAGTCATTCACATTTTGGTATAACTTAAGTAATATATTTTAATCATTGTCTTCAAACTTCTTCATAGTCATTTAGAGGCCTAATCATAAAATTTCTTTGCTCATTTTGTGCTTCTATAGTATAAACAGTAGCCATTTTTGTAGTCATAAAAATTGCAGGAAAGTCATTTTCTAGATAATAAGACTTGTAGAAAAGTTATTATTTAGGTAATATGTGACTCAGGAAAATAATTTTGTTTAAGAGAATCCAAGAAGAGAAGAAAATACGTTATGCTCTTTGAATATCAAGTAATCTCTAACACATTGCCATTCCCTTTTTCCTAACTACCACTAACCTACGAAGTTCTGAGCTCAGTTGCAAAAGCTTTGCTCTTGCTTAAAGGATGACTTTGGGCTGCTTTAAGTAGATGGTCTCTAGTCACTTGCATAATCTGATTTTAAATATATAAATATTATCAAGTCATTTGTGGATTCTATCCTTGTAAGTCCTGTCATAAATAAATCCCACTGATAATATTTTTTAACCACAAGTACATATTTACTAACTGGAATTATTATTCTAACAATTTAATTAATCAATATCTGTATAAGACTTTAATAATTATTGACTTCATTTTTATAATAACTGAAAAGAATGGTGGTATAATTATTTCCATTCATTAAATGAAGTATTTAGTAAGACTGAGAAATTTGCCCTTAGCTACATAGTTAGTTCAGGTTTTGTGATTCCAAATTTCAGAATCCAAATTTAAAAATTCATATGAGGCCAGTCTTATATCAAATCCTGTGGAGGACAGAACATTAGTTGGTATTCTTTCTTACTGTCTTTGAGGTCATTTCTAAGATAACCACTGTTCAAGAATGCTGAGAACTCTGATAAGCAAGTTAAAAATGCCACCAAATGAGAGTCCCTAGAACTATATTTTTCCCTCATGAGATTTTCTGTTTAAATAAGGACTTTGAGGAAGAAAACACCTTTTCTCTTTGTGTGAAAATTCTAACACCTATACATTAGAACAAAGTTGTAGCATCTCAAATCCTGTTGTTTTCATTGTACTGCCAAAGGCTCTGTCTTGTTAACTGGAAGATTTTATACACAGGTTTAAATTAAATTCTTCTATTACAATCTACCAAATTAGACTTAGATTAGTGTGTGTGTGTGCTGTACACATGATGAGAGAGTTTATTTCATGATAGAATCAAATTATTTCCCAGTGGTGTGATTAAATTACTTAATCTCTCTGAGCCTCAGTTCTTTAATCTGTTAAATGGAAGCATTATGGTATCTTTTGTGTAAAAAGCACTAAAGAAGAGTGTTGGAAATAAAAGTTTGGAGCTGGGGTTGCAGCTAAGTGGTGGAGTGCTTGTCTAGCATATTGAAGGCCATGGATTCACTACTGGCACTGAAAAAAATCGTAGAAAACCAACCAATCACTTAATACTCTAATCTTTCCCCTTTGAGATTTCTTCTGCCTAATATAGACTATTTGATTATAGACTTATACTAGTAAGTAAGTAATGTTTATATGACATTAAAATTGGAGTTTAGATCTAAATATATGATGTGTGATTATCTGCATTATTTCTATTTGGGTGAGGGTAAAACATTGAATTTAACTACACAGCAATAGATAATAAAATTCCTTCAAGTCCACACTCCTTAGTTCGATACATCCTTCCTTATATTTTGAGGGAACAAGCACCTTGTAAAAATATTAACCTCCTATTGGTTGCAAATGGTTGTTTCATTTAATTGGAAGTGCCATAGTAATAAAGGAAGTGTGAAGAGGTTATAATTGCTTGTGAAACATTCCGTAAAGCTTTAATATGCAAGGGCTATATAAAATATTCTTTTTCATCATCATTCAGTTGGTATTTTTGACCCCTAGAGACAAGGTTGGAGCAATTCATATGCCTTTAGGGCATTGGGTATTTGTAGTTAAATGCTGCTTTTTGAGTACAAATGATATGGTATATGTCACTTTTGTGTACTGAAAGGTATGTGTGATCTCTTCACATTAATTGAACAGAACAGAAATTTATGGATAAGGATTTGGAGAACAGATTCCCAACTGATTGCTCACGAAACTCATATATGACATGTTCTGGTTCTGTTCATGAAAAACTGAATTATTGAACTCTGTGTCCTTTGTGGTTAGTGTTTTGTCAATCACTCAGTGTTGGTAGTGGACAACTAGCCTGAAGCTAGAAAATCAAGTCTGAACAAAATTCAACTTGTGTTCTTGTCATTATGTAAGTCATAACGCATTTCCACATGCAACAGACTACCTTCTTGATGACAAACTCCCATTTAGAATTTAGCCAGCCTTTTAAACAAAGCCATAGATGGTAGCAATTGCTAATTTGAAAATTAAAAGTTGTGGTAAGTCATCTGGCAATGTGACTGTCTGCTAGCTACAATGACACAGTGACAGGCCTCATGTGACAGGCTTCCTCTGGGCAGACCATGCAATTCACTGAATTGCATGATATTTGTTTGAATATGCAACCTATACAGTTAATAATTTAAAAAATTCTGAAATTCATATTAGTTCACTAACCATTAATTGCTAGGAATAAACCTAAAA